TATTGGCCACCCAAAAAAATAAGGAACTTACATCGCCCATACAAATGAAGGACAAGCAGCAATAAGGGAATCACCTGCCTTTAAAACAGTCAAGAAGATTCAACAGTACAAACTGGAGAGGAATCCAGTAGATCCACAGAATTAAACAAGTTTCTTGATTATGTCCAAGAAAAGTCCAGGCAAAGATTGACCAGCACACCACTGAAAAAGGATGAAGATGACACTGGAGAGATGGAGACAGTAGCTGAAAAGATGGATTCTTTGCCATTTACAGATGGGTTCAGTGTCTATGATACAAGTTATGAGGGAGATCAGGAAATGTCTAGCAATGTAATTGCTGTTGACAAGGATAATACAAATGTCAAGCAACGGTTAGTATTTGGATTTAACAAGGATGAGATGAAGAATGCTGACAATGAACAGAAAAATGACCAGTCCTGTAATGATAGCAAGGATGAAAAACCAGCAGCTGAAATTCCTAGCTATAAACCAGAAGAAATTGTTGAAGGAGAAGAGGTAGTTATAGGAGCTTTAGAACACTACTCATTAGAACTATACAGGGCCATCAAATCCCCTGAATCCACAGAATGTAAAGAAAACACTCAGGCACCAGCTTTTCCAAAAGAAGTTCACCCAACAGACAAGAAGAAGAATGAGAAAGACTTAACAGGAATTGAATTTGATTTAGAACAATGGGATAGATTCCTAGGTAGTACAATGAATGAGGATTTAGTAAGCTCAGATACAGTTTTCAAGGAAATTTCAAATGATAAAACAAACATAAAGAGTGACATATCAAGTGATATATTAGGAAGCACATTTGATAGGAGTGAAAATGTGATAGTAAACAAAGCGGAAGAATATCCTGGCCTGCCAGATTTAAGACAGGATCTCAGTAGTACATTTGAGCATAGCACATGTAATGAGATTTCTGACATTATGAAGCACAATGAAAGTGAAATATCAAATGTTGATTCTCATCGTCCAGTGGTTGATACGGACATATTTTTTGGTTCAGATTCAAGCTCATCTCATGCTTTGGTACAAAAGCCTTCCTCAGAATTTCATGAACCATTTCACACTGCCAGCCTGGAATCCTCTTTTAGTGACAGGAACCAGATTATGAAGTTTAGTGATGAATCTTACCTTACTGCTGAATCCAGACCAGTTACAAGAGAATTGTATACATCAGCTGAAGTGTCTGATCTGTACAAAACTGCAACTCTGCTTTCTGATGACGAGCTAAAGCAAGCTCCTTTCTTAGATGTAAACTCGATGAATCGAAGAGAGTGGAGTTCTTCTGAAGGCAGTAAGACTGATGATACCCGTTCTCTTGGCAATTCCTATGTTATTATTGACACCCCATCAGATTCATATACCTATAAGAGGGAAGATTCAGTTGACTGCACATTTGAGGTAATGGACCATAGTGAGTTAAATCAATTAGTAATGCAAAGTAAAGACATAAAGGAAACATTTGGCAGAGAATGTGAAATAGCAGATTCATCAGCAGTTTCATCATGCCATTTGCCTGAACTTCAGAGCTCTGATGAGAAAAGTGCTGTCAGATCAGATATTAGTGATTTAGTTCATGACTTAATTGTGGGAAAAGACCAGGCAGTACACAATGAGAACAAATTCAAAACAGGACTCCAGATCACACCTACTGAAGAAAAAGGGTTGGCTGCAAAACCTGCCACCACAAACTTAGAAAACCATAAATTAGTAAACCTAAATGGTGATGTGCTGAAACTCAAAACATTTGATTTAGATTCTGAAGTGAATTTGATTAAAGAAGAGGATGACCTTTCACCAAGTGCTTACCAGTGTAGGATAAGAGGTGATGACTGCTGGTCATCACAAGAGAGTCAGGATTCTGCAGTAGAGAATGATGAGGCCGAAAATGGGGACTTCTGGCAGCAGCAGATGGTTGCCTGGCAAGAGGCAGCATTTCAGACAAGGCAGCTGCTCCAAGAAGCAGCTGATGGTAATAGTACTTTTGATGGAAAACTCAAAGGTTCACAGGAAGATCTGGAAGCAAGCCCTCGCAGTGACACGTCTTCCACCAAGAGTCCTTACTCTTCAACTGATATGCTAAATCTTGATGATGAGGGAACATATGTTTCATACAACACAACAGATGATGAGGAAGTACTGGGATACAAACCAGAAGACATAAATGCTCTCAGGGCTGAGTTGAGCTTGAAGCTAGGTGGTGTGCAGGAAAAGGAGGAAATGGAGCCTGAAGAACCTGATGATGTCCCAACTGGGGAACGTGATAATGTTGTTATCAACTACAGAGGTATCATCACCACCACTTTATCTCCCATAAAAGAAGAGAGCTTCCTTGAGGACTATGATTCACCTGCAAGAAGACTTAGCAATAAGAACATCCCAGAAGATCCTAGTATTGAGTTCCATGAATCATTTTCAGAAAGTTTATGTTTGGATGATTCCAAAAAATTAGATGGCACTTTTGTTATACATACAGCTGTCAATG